AGTGGGAAAAATTATGTAAAATAAATAATAATAATAATTAAAATGGTTGACGAGGCACGAATGCGAGCAGCTCGTCGGTAATGTAATTCGACAGCGTAACGTCTGAGTGATTTACAACTTATAATGTCACGGATAGTAGTTAGACATGGTTCAAAGGGCATTGAAACAATAAAATTTGATTATAAATAGATGTATACTGTTATGAACTTTAAGCTACTTAGGATAAACGATTGTATTTCATGTTATAATTTCAAGTTATCTAGAAAGAAAAAAAGAATAATTTAGATTTATTTCAATTTTTATTTGGTGGTTATGAGGTTGGCCAAATTGACTGATTCCATATAGAGACAGGGTAGAGAAAATAAATTAAAGTTTTACTGATAAAAAACGTTTGAAATGTATTTAGGAGGTTTTAGGGATTACACAAATGAAATTTGAGATTTTTGAGATGATGAAAAGTATTTTTAATTTTAACATGAAAATTACTTTGCACACAAAACAAATACTCAATATATTCATGGACAAATCTTTATTTTATTTTACTAAAAATACTTCACTAAAAGATATGACTTTTTGTATGTGAAAGACTACCAAATTTTGTGAAGATATACACACTATATTGAAAGTTAGAAGTATTATATGTATAAAGACTTTTAATCGAGTAGAAAGAGGTCATGTGGCCAGTCAAATTAACCGAGCCCATGTTGAGAGACTTAATGTTTACTGATAATTTTCAGATATAATTATTGTATTAAAAGTTATAGTATGAAAACTATAACAAGCACAAGATGGTTACGTGGTCAATCCCTGGGACTCAGCACATAGTGAGAGAGTTAAACACAAACTAATACGGCCATGTTGCAACAATGATAAAAATATAACCCCACAAAAAGAATATGGAATCTTAATGTCAACACTGTTGCAACTTACAAAATTTACAATAATCACTAGAAAACATTAAATATATAACAACAGTAAAACAAAATTACTGTTTTATGTACTCCACACCTTTTTGTAAGAATTACTTACATGCAATTTACATGTGATAAATAACATTAGCAAAAGAATATGGAAACGTAACTACTAAATAATGAAAATAAATAGCACCTTGATAGAAATAATAGGGTTTTTTTGCAGGTTTTTTGGTTTCTGTTCTCTTATTTTCAGGAAAACACTGAAAATCACAAACATCTTTTGCTATGGCTTTAATTTGTTCATGTACTTCCAAGCTTCTAGCATACTTTTCTGCAAAAATAACAAAAATAATTGTTCATCAGTTCTTAAAAAAAAGTGTGTCAGGGCTATATAATATACAATTAAACTTTTTAGGAGATAAAAGGTATTTAAACATGTATAGTAATACAGTTTGTTTTAAATAGAGAATTACAAAGAATACAATTAACACTAATGGAAGGTTTGAAAACTTTAATGGACTACAACTGTTTGCTGAAAAAAAAGGAGACAATGTTTCGGTTTCTATACTGAGGCCTTCTCGAAGTGCAAATAGTAGTTCTCTGATAGCACACAATGGTCAAGATTCAAATGTTTTCAAATTCATTTAAATCAATAATAATAATAATAAAAGTTGGAACACAATTGTTAATAATCACACAAATCCATTGTGGGAGGTGATTAGCTACAAGTCACTTCAAATGATACATGTAAAACAAGTTCTTAACTATCATTTTTTTTTTGTACTTACCTACCACATCTTCATGTCCAGTAGCATTTATATCATCTGTTTCGTCATCATCAGCAAAGGGATCTACAAAACTTCCTCTCTAAAATCAGAAATAAGACCAAAAAGTATAATAAAAAAGTTGAAAAAAAAAGAAATTAAATTCCACTCTCATAGAAATACATTTATCACGGACAACAGAAACTTAACATTTTCTTAAATCAAAAATGTATTTCTAATAATACTTACCTCCTCTCACACTACAGCTATTACTTGACTGCTAAGGTTTCTTTATGTTTGCCCATCTAAGCATTGGTCTGATCTTTTCTCACTTCCTACAGTCTTTTATTCCTCACTTAATTGGCCTTGGCAATATATCTGTCTCGTGACACTATCCACCTACATCAATGCACCCTCTATCTTGGTACTGTATATAAGTACCTCCTTCAGACAATATTGTCACCTTTTTGAGACTTACCCAATCTGCAGTCTTTAACACCAGCTCTTAGTGGGGAGGAAGGGTGGGAGAGTGTGAAAATTACGTTTTTGATATAAGAAAATGTTAACTTCCAAAACATACAGTGCCTTGCAAAAGTCTTCACTCCTGTGCTGCTAATAAACTTAAGGCATTTTCTTGTGAAAGATATAACTCAAATGACCAAAAATATTTATTATATTAATCTCAGACCAGTTTCTAAAGAATACAAAAAACAAAAGGTGCATTGTTACCCAATTTAGTGATATAACACAAAAAAAATCTTAAAAACACATGTTGCAAAGTCTTCACCCTCTCTTTGAAAAGATTAGCACCCTAGTGACGGAACCAACTGCACTACATCCAGAACAAATAAGCTCTTCACCCGGAACCTAAATCATGAGTGTGGTATTTGACATGATCCATCACCACAATTGGCTAGGCCCCAACCAGGTAGCTGAGGTCCCACTGCTCGAGGTTGGAATTATAGGGCCATGGTCCCCTAAATCCCACATTGGTGCCTAACATAACAAACAATCGGGATCTGATTAGTCATAGAGGTGATAAATAGCAGTCAGATGAATCAGTAAAAAGGATTTATCCCCTTCCCTGGTTGCCATTGTTTGATGTAAGAAATACCTGTCTGAGTATAGCTAGAATGATAAAGTGTCCTGTGCACATGCAGTGCAAACAACTCTGACCGGCAAGGTCCACAGGGCAGCAGCAACAAAAAATAAACCTTAAGGGGAACATGATGCTAAGGGCTCAAATGGATGTTGAAAAAGAGCATGTAAGATCACATCTATATCTCAGTTGTTTGGGATGAGGAGGCCGGAAAGCACTGGGACTCAAAGAATTACCATGTCTTTGAGTATCTATAGGTAGCCGATAGGGCACCTGATATAGGGTGATTTTTAGAAGATGCAAAACCCTTGCCAAAGAACCAGGTCAAAACCGAGCTATGGTTAGTACATCTGGACAAAGTGCATTCCACCTCCTCTCAATACACAGTGGGGGTGAGGTACCAGAGACCAAAATGCCGGTACTTGAGTGTTCCAATGAGTGGCAAATGCATTGATTATCAGAGTCCTGAACCAAGAGCAAATTCAATGGAAAACTTCTTGATGAAGCATCCATTCTGTTGGGAGAATCCGGCTGGTCAAGAAAGCTGATCCACCACTGAATTCATCATCCCTGGAACATAGCCATTTAGTAGGATGATATGATGGGAGTGGGCCCAGTATAGAAGATCCAAGGGAAATATAAGAAACCACTGTAGAATTGTCGAAGATTGAAGCAGAACAACTTTGCCCCTCAATAATTCCAGAGCTTGAGACATCGCCTTTTGAACAGCAAGAAGTTCTAAAACATTGATATGCAGGGAAGCCTCTTCATCCATACCTAGGCCCTGGAATTTTTGACCTTTACGATATGCACCTCATCCCTGGAGAAAGGCATCTGTGAAACAATGGAGGTCTGGACAAGATGGTGGCAGAGGAACACCTGTTGTAGTACTGTTCTGATCTAACCACCACTCGAGATCAAAGATATCACTTCTAAATAAGGAAACTGGGGAATTAAGTGGATCACTGTTTGTGACCCACTGGTCATGTAGAAACCATTGAAGAGATCTCAAGTATACTTGTTCCAAAGGAATGAGGAATTCAAGTGATGCCCATATCCCCAAAAGATAAAGAACCATGGGAGAAGGAGACATGAGTAACAGTCACACTGTTTGTACCATAGCATGGAGCTGGCCGAGACCCAGTGAGATACGTGTCGAAAAAAAAAACAGCCAGATGGATGATCTGTTGTGTTGGAATGAGATGAGATGTCATGGCTCTGATAAGAAATTCTGCCTTGGTTGTTTCAGAAAATAGTAGCTGGGTGTGACTTACCACCAACAGACAAGATGGTGCCAGCAGTAGCCAGATGTCCATGGAATAGTGTGAGCCCAGGCTCAAGGAATGGAGATGATGAGAAAAGGTTCGTAAGATTTGGCAGAACACACATGGAGTTGATGCTAGTCCAAAGGGTAAAGCCCTGAACTGCAGCACCAGATCCTTATGCACAAAATGCAGATAGTGGTGGGATAAATCTGCTATAGTAACATACAGATAGAAATTGGCAACATAGAACTTGGTCATTGACAGTCCTGACAAAAAGTGCCAACACAGAGTAAGGAATGACTCCATCATGAAATTTAGAGGGTCTATGAATTGATTTAGATGAGAAAAATCGATGACTGGATGCTAATATCCCATTTTCTTGGGCACAACAACCAGACGGGAATAAAACCCAAGAAGAACTGGAATGATTCTCTCCACTTGTCCAACGTTGGTATCACTGACCAACAAATCTCTAATAACCATGGAATGAAGTTTCAAAATATAAGGATCTGCAGGAGGTGGAAACATTACAGGATAGGGGTTAACGATGGTGGAGATATGAATTGAATGACTAATCCTGACACAAGGACCTTTAATACCCATGGACCTGTGGTAAAGCTTTTACACATGTTCAGAAATTCTCTGAGCCAAGCCCCCACAGACCCTGAAGGCAAACAGTAGTCACTGTCACTGATGGTGGCATTCCAACCTAGCAGAGGGACCTTGTGGATATGGGTGAAATTTATTCTGGATACCCATGGACTGAGGGCCTGATACCAAGGGTTGGGACATTCCAATGGGGGCAGAACTATGACCCCCTGTAAAGGACGAGGAAAGTCGAGAAGCCAATGATGACAGGGATGAATGCAGACAGATGACATCAATCCTCAAATCCAAAGACTATGGGACACCCACAAAAATCAAGGGTTGGAGTTTTCTCCTGGAGGGTGGCAGCAGATAGAAAAACGTCCTCCAACAACATCTGTATCCTATCAAATAAATCCCAACCAAGACACTAGAAAAAGTGCAGAAGCTGACAAATGAATCAAGGAGGATGCTAGCAATGATCCCAACTTGCCATCAAAGTGATATGGCGATCGCTAAGATGATTCTTAAAAAAAGATGTGAGGATGATATTTATATATATATCTCAGCACTGTAGGTAGGGTCAGATGAATCCTAGAAAACTGATCTATTCAGACTCTGTTCTGGAGCCCCACATTTCCAGGATCGAGTCTATTCCTTAAGTCTGAGTACGCTTCCACCTGGCAGTGGTAAGTGAAAGCATATTGTTCTGACAAACGTGGCAGACAAGGCATAGTTGTCCCTAATGTAACTGAACAGTAAACCTCCCTGCATGAACTACATTATCAGGGGATGGAGGGAGAACTACGTACTCACCCTCGTACCTTTACACCATCAAGGAAGGTGCAGACCTAAAACCAACTAGGAAAAGACCCAAAACATCACTACTTCAAGTACCAATGGAAGAAAAGGAGCCAGAGGTGGCTGATCCAAATTGGCTTTATGAGAAGCTGACAGAGTAAAGGAAGGTGCCAGAGGAAGTAAACCTAAATTTTCTCCAGAATGTCCAGGATCGCCCACAAGTGTAGCATCAGGATACCAAGATGAAGGGTACAATGACATAGGTGGAGAGAGTCAAGGGCAATTAAGTGGAGCAAGCAAGAAAAAATCAGACCAATGCTTAGATGGGCAAAGACAGAGAAACCCTAGCAGTCAAGTAATAGCTGTAGTGTGAGAGGAGGTATGTTTTGGAATAAGTAATATCTTGTTAACATCTGTTTATTCATACATTATTCCTACCCTGTTAATTCTTCTTTCTTCTGCTGGTGATTCTGTCACATTCCCTGTATTATGAGATGCATAAGAGGAGGAAGCTTTAGAGATGCCTAACTGAGCCAGTAGTTGTAAAGTTTCTTCTTCTACTAACTCTTGTTTGTGTAAAATGTTCTCTCTTTCAGCCAAGGTCTTAGAATAATGATAAGAAAATATATAAAGCTAGAATGATAAACTGTGGTTTAATGGAAATTTAAGTATGAAAGTTATTTATACAACAATTTAGTTAGTTCCACATTTTTTTTATATACAAATATACATTGAAAATACAACATTTCTAAACTTATAAAGCTCAAAATTACATAACTTTAATACTTCCAATGTACTTATCATCTAAAATTTAAAGAAACATGCTAAAACATCTTATTAAATTTTTCCTAATTTAAAAAATAGTTCATATAAGACATACCTGCAATGCTAACTCTATAAAGCAAGATTCTGGGGTATCTTTTTCTTCTGTCAATTGAGCCACCATTTCAGATTTTTCTCGACTTAAAATTGTGTTCACCTGCTTTGGACAAGCTGTCACAAGTTTCTGAAAACAGGTGATGGCAGCATCTAATATGAAAAATCACAAATACAGAATAAACGTAATAAAAAGGGGGAATTTATTTACTTTTGCTATGACTTTTATAATTACCATTTAGTTGAATCTTTAAAAAAAATAGCTATAGTATACAATTTGTAAACTAGCACTACATTACATTTCATTTTAGTAATTTATTTAAAGGCCTCAAATAAAGGTTGGTTGTCATTATAATAATTATTAACATTTTATTTTCCAACAACTTTTTCTTTTAGATACTTGTAATCATGATTCATACTGAATTGCTCAGATCTATTTCAATCACTTTAAAAGGTCTTTCTAAGCACTCTCATAATCTTTGTCAAGCACTTTTGAAAGCTAAAATCTACATCATATCAATCACATTCCACTGAAATTTTATAAAATTCCTACATATTTGTTCAACATGTGAATGTAGAGTAAAAAGAAAAGAAAAGATTATTTATTGCACTGAACTCTGCAAAATGCATTAAAGTTAGATATATCAATATATTCTGCTATTACAATATTTTCAAGTACTTTTGCAAAAAAAAACCCCTTTTCAAGGACTTTCAAGGATGTGTATGCACCCTGTGTAATAGTTCAATGAAATATATATAAAACTTTTATCTCACCATCATCAATGTGGAAAGGTTTTTCAATAACTCCACTCCAATGAGTGACAGGAACAGCAAACACAGACTCTTTATCTCTTACCATAAGCGAAAGATTGATTTCATCACCAACTTTCTTGGTGGTTTTATTGGCAAAGTCCACACTGTAAGATAATCAATTAATGGATGCATTTTAGTGATCAAAATATTACTATAGTTTTATTTTATACAATGTTCTTGTAAGCAAATCTCTACATTAAATATAGCCAAATTGCTTAGGTTGATGTCCTTGTGAATCTTACTTATTGAAGTACAGTAAAATAAAGATGTACTTTCATACCTGATAAATAAATTACATTATAGGTTATACATACCTTTTTAAATTATCTTTACATACAGCTTCATAACAAATTGGACACTTGCGCCAGGTTTTATCAGAAAGAGACAGGTAGTGAAGTATGCAAGACCAGCAATATATGTGACCACAGCGAGTTATCTTGGCAGCAGTGGGAGGATACAGGCAGATAGGACAACAAGGAGCTTCAAAGCTCGGAACCCTCTGGTAAAAACAGTCGATTTATAAGCAACACCAGATTTCACAGCACAATAAATTATCATCTTAAAAACTTGGTTACAAAACTATATACACAATAAAAAGATTTAGGTCAAACACAAAGTAGAAACAGTGAAATCCTTATTTAAAAACACACAGAGTTAACCCAATGATCACTGGCTACTAACTTTCTGCGTAGCCAATGCAAGTCTTGCTATATTTCA